TTTTATAAAAATAAATATTAACTAATTTGTAAATATTTAATAATTTTAAAAATTAATATTAGATAATATTTAATAATTTTAAAAATATTTTTAAATATTCAATAATTAAAAACATGAAGAGATAAGAAATAAAATAAAATATATAAGTTAAATAAGAAAGAAAAATATGAAAAATTTCAAATTCTTACTTTTTTAGGATAATTTGAAATTCTACTATTTCAAGGAATTTCACAAATATTTACATTTTAAATTTCTTATAAATTCTCCATCTAAACAAGATATTTTACCTTAATAAAGAATTTAAAATTCTTTAAATAAATAAATTACTTTATTTAAATTTATCCAAAAAATTTAATATTTATCGAAACATATCGAGGAGTCATGTCACACTTCTCAGGTATAGTTCTGATTCTTGTAATCGGATTGGTTGGCAAGCTGTGTGGTTTGTAGTGGTGTAGGCCATTTTATTATCTCGAAATTCTTTACTTCACAGATAATATAGAAGATAAATGAAAGAGATTGTAGAATTGGTCAAATTCTATTTTTGGCAATAGATCACTGTCCTATATATGTAATTTTAGATATCATGTCAAATGTTAGTTTATAATTCATAATATATATATATAATATACTTTATTTCCAACATTCTTTCCAATATTAATAATAATATTTAAATCTAATTAGAATTAGTATATGTTTGGGACTATACTAATTATAATAGCCAAACCAAATTTTGTAAAAAGGTTTTTGGTATCCCTTGTACATTATTATTTATATATTTCTTTGCTGTTCAAAAAAATTCGCAAGAAAGTTTCCTGCAAATTATTTTTTGTAGGAAACTTTTCTGTAAATTTTTTTTTTGAAAAAAACTCTTGCGAATTTTTTTCGCAAGAAATTTCGCAGGAAAAATTCATGTGAATTTTAAAATTCGTTAAAATATATTATCTACGAAAGTATTACCTACGGATAGAATTTCGTAAAAAAATTTTGTAGGAACAATCAGGAAAAATGACATGTAATAAGAGAAGTTGAAATTTTGTTAGGGAAGAACCGAAAATTATATAGCATCTTATTTCAATATAAATTCAATTGTTGACTAGTCAAAGTTCAATACTTATGATGGTGACTCCCTAAGACCCTCGACTACTTCCACCTCGGTATTGAAGGCCAGCATCTCGGCCTCGGCATCTTGTGCCGAAACCC